ACCTAAATGCCACTTCAGAAGCACTTCTGTGCCACCTTTACAGTGTAAATTTGCCATTTGTGTCCCTTTTTAGACAGAATACACCATAAAATTATTTATCAAGGTTGTAAATAAAACAAAGATTTTTGGAGTACATTTTACAATAAAATACTAGTCTTTCTACTTAAGTGTTACTTAGTCTTTTTTTTGTAATTAATTGTAATATGTACTAACAATTTCAGAGTGGAAATTGTTTACACACCACTTTGTTTTCAGCGAAGGCTTGTTGAGTTTCAATGGGACATGTAAATGTAAATAAAACGTTATGTAAATCATATTTTGTCTTGTAATACTGCAAGCAGACAGCAAGAGCCTAGAGTTAGAGAGGAATATAAGCGTTTAGTGGAAGTCAATAGGGCAGACAGTGATTGACTGAGTCTGATGCCTCTTTTGCAGGTGCTGGCCGTGCTGTCTAGCACCTTTCTGGATGGATTCATGTAAAGATGTTGAGCACCGCTGCCCAAACTGCAACAACATCTTGTCTTTCTACAAGCGCCTGTGATCTGGATTCAAACATGTCCCTCTTGATCTTTGATTTGAATGGGATATAATGGGTATAAAAGACAAAGGAAAGTGTCTATGCGACATTAAATTCCAACGCGGGTGATTTCAAATAATTTCACACAAATAATTATCACTTAACCAAATGCAACTATTACGACACATGTAGTAAGACTATATGGTAAGTGTTTACATTGTATGTAATATTTATTAAAATATGTATGGATATAAATATTGTATGGAATAAAATATTTAATAACTGTTTTAAAGCTTTACATTCAACTTCTTTCAGAACTCTGCCTGTAAATGTAGATCACAGTTATGTCTCAGATATATACTGTCTTAACATTTTAATGTATCCTAAGTATGAACTTTTAAAGCAAACTAAAGTTAACTAACATAGCTTTGACGTCAGTCTGATGTTAAGGTTAATAAATGTTAAATTTGTAACATTTACAAGCTCATAATGTAACACTGTATTGCTATGCACCCAGTTCTCTTCACCTCTTAGCTTCAACATTTCATAATTAGCCTCTCTTAAATAAAGGGTTTCAGGGTTAACAACTGTTATTACACTCTAAAAAATGCCTGGTTAAATACAACCCACTGCTGGGTAAAATAGGGACAAACCCAGCAATTGGGTTCCTGTAATTTAGACTCTTTTCCCCAGAGAGAATTACAGGGCAGCCTTAATGAATAATTTGATCACATTCACATTATAAATTCTTAATTTACATTCACAGAGAAATTAATGAATGTTTCTTGATTTCAAGGGGTAAAAGAGGCTGAAATGCTTTGTAAAAAAAAATGTTTCAATGAGGATTCATATGTAAACTTTAATCTAATTTGTACATAATTTTGTTCTGTAAATCCTACAACCAGTGAGAATAATTTCTCAGCAGTGTTGTATCTAAAATCATTTTACATTCTATATTAAAAAATATATTCTACAACTGTGTGCCTGCAATCTGTACAAGAACCAATAGAGGGCGTGATAAACTACTTTAAAAAGCCAGTCGATCTGTTGCACACAGAATGGAAGCAAATGGTTATTTAAATTTTATATATACATACAGTATATGCAGTGTTCGAACTATACGGTGGACTTTGGGGGAGCCCACTTTTTTTATATAACGGGGGGGGGTTCACATGAACAACGGTTAAAGTTACTCGTCGTCAGGCTACAGAAGAATACCATAATTCCTCCGTTCAGTTAGGCCTAAGACATCGCAGACCTATAACAACCCAGCCACAACACATAAATCGACCACAGAGTCCAACGTTTATATTTTTTCTACGAGTCTTTGAGTTAACATGTACTAAACATGAGTGGAATTTGCACCGCAGCGCCCCCACACCTTGATGCTCATGACAAGAATAGCATGTATAGTTATCTTTATTGAAGTGAATTAGGTTTAAATCGCCGTCATGCCTGAATGAATGATATTTTTGCAATTTTACACATAATAATCCACGATGATCACATTACACAAAACTGAAATTGCACGTCAAAATAACACATTGTCAATATTTTTTGAGACCCCCCAAAATTTCACAAATCACGTTTTCAGGGGAGCCCATGTCTTATTAAGGGGAGCCGAGCTCCCCCTAGCTTCCGTAGTTCGCACCCTGAGTATATGTGATTTCAACTGCACTGATATAAATGTAATGTCTCATGTTGCGGTTGCTACAGTGTTGTTACTGTTGATTTGAACTAAAATGATTCAAAATATTTTTGGTAATTGAAATAAAGCTGAAATAAAACGTAAAAATTTAAAAACTTAAAAAAACTAACAAAAAATTTGAAATGAATTTGAAGTATAATAATATAATCACTAAACAGGCTGAAGTAATAAAATCACTAAAAGTTAAAAGAAGATTAATTATATAAAAAAAAATTTAACTAATAACCTAAACTAAATAAAACAGCGAAAGCACATAACGAAATTACTAAAACTCAAATGAAAACTGAAAAAAAGAGAGCTGATTTCAAATATTAATAAATCATTCTATAATAGCAAAATAACAAAAACAAGGCAGCAGCTTTTATATTAAACAGGGTTTGTATTAAACAAAAAGCAATGCATTTTGTCTCCAAATAAAGCCAGGTTTTGCTCAAACTCAAGGGTGTTCAGACTTGATCTCTTTAAAAGAACCAAACTCAAGACTTTCACCTTTACTAAATTTCTTTAACATATCTTGATGAGCTCAAAGTATGTATAGAAGACTACAAACAAATGAGAGCGCCTTTCTTTTGAACCACGCAGCGCAGGCAGACAGTATATTTATTTAATGAAATTAAATAATTAACCACAGTCTGCTGTCCAGACTGCAATTTCGATTTTATTTCAATTAATTGCCTGCCAAGAATCACGTTGTACAATAAGGGATTACAATTTCAATACTGGCTCTGTAGTATAACTAACTGTATATGAATTTTATATAATGATGAGCCTCACATCATCAGCTTTGAAATTAACCAGCTGACTAAAAAAATCTCTTTTCAAATCCCAAACTACGAGAATGGTTCAAAAATTAAGTTATCGTCTTTATTATTATTATTACTGTTCTTTTTCATTATTACTCTGCATAGTCCGTGAGGAAATTTTAACACTCGTTTTGGTGCCCCATAAAACCATTATGATGGAAGGAGTGAAAGAGAAATGGCAGGGAGAGGCTGTGTGTGTTTGAGCCGTAAGGGGAATAGTGGCCACCACACGCCGCTTGCAATACTAATTAATCAAACTGTGTCAAGCAGCGAAGTGTAGAAAGGCGTGAGGTGAGAGAGATTCACACTGCTGGACCGCATGAACCCAGTGAACCAGACTCACGCCGACCGATGCCGTACGAGCTGAAGATGGAGCGCAGGTGGCGTTAAAGCACATAATCAGGAGCGTTGAATGCTCTCGTGACACTTAAAGGGGTCATATGATGCGATTTCAAGTTTTCCTTTCTCTTTGGAGTGTTACAAGCTCTTGGTGCATAAAGAAGATCTGTAAAGTTGCAAAGACTAAAGTCTCAAATCCAAAGAGATATTCTTTATAAAAGTTAAGAGTCAGCCACGCCTACCTAAAACGGCTTGTTCTAACACGCCCCCACATACCTACGTCACTATGTGGAAATATTAGCATAATGCCGCCCAAATGTTCACGCAAAGAAAGAAGGCGTGAAAAATAATGTGTTTTTTTGAACATTAAAGCATGTCAACATGCATCATATGACCCCTTTAAGAGGTACTGTAACCCAAGGGATGACAACAAAGACTTCTAATGTCTTCCTGTGGCAGATATA